AGGGCTTTTGGTGTGCCTGCGACCAGAATAATGTTCATTGTATCCAGCAGGTAAGTTTTTATCCCTCACTCCCCTTCCAACACTCTCCCCTTCTTGGTTTCCAATGTCCTTTGGATCTCTTTGCGCCTTTGTGTAACCATCATTCAGCTCCCACTTATTAGTGAGAACGTGGTATTTGGTTTTCCATTCTTGAGAAACTTCTCTTAGGAAAATGGTCTCCAGTTCAATCCAATTTGCTACAAAAGACATTATTTCATTCCTTTTTATGGCTGAGTAGTACTCTGTGGTATATATATATACACCACATTTTGTTAATCCACTCATGAATTGATGGGCACTTGGATTAATTACACATCTTCGCAATTTTGAATTGTGCTGTGATAAACATTTGAGTGCAGGTGTCTTTTTTATAAAGTAATTTGTTTTCTTTTCGGTAGATAACCAGCAGTGGGATTGCTGGATCAAATGGTAGGTCTACATTTATTTCTTTGAGGAATTTCCATACTGTTCTCTACAGAGGTGGTACTATAATAATTTGTAGTCCCACCAACAGTGTGGAAACGTTCCTTTCTCTCTGCATCCACAACAGCATCTATTGCTTTTTGATTTTTTGTTAATGGCCATTCTGACAGGGGTAAGGTAATCTCCTTGTAGTTTTAATTTGCATTTCCCTGATGATTAGTGATATTGAGCATTTCTTCATATGTTTCTTGGTCATTTGTCTATCTTCTTTTGAAAAACAATTATTCATGTCTTTTGCCCACTTTTTGATGGGGTTGTTTGTTTTTTCTTGTTGATTTGTTTGAATTCTTTGTAGATTCTGGATATTAGTCCTTTGTCAGATTGTATAGTTTGTGAATATTTTCTCCCATAGTTTTAGCTATATGGTTTTATTTCTGGATTCTCTATTCTGTTCCATTGGTCTGTGTCTCCACTTCTATATCAGTACCATGCTGTTTTGGTTTCTATAGCTTTGTGGTATAACTTGAAGTCAGGTAATGTGATGCCTACAGATTTGTTCGTTTTACTTAAGACTGCTTTGACTATTGAGGTTCTTTTTTGATTCCAAGTGAAGCTTAGGGTTAGTTTTTCTAGATCTGTGAAATATGACATTGGTATTTTGATGGGGATTGCATTGAATCTGTAAATCACTTTGGGCAGCATGGACATTTTAACAATGTTGATTCTACCAATCTGTGAGCATGGGATGTTTTTCCATTTATTTGTGTCATCTGCAATTTCTTTCATCAGTGTTTTGTAGTTCTCCTTGTAGAACTATTATCACTATTATTGTTATTATTAAAACTTAGATGAATGTTACAATATATTACAATAAGGAGACTGGTTAACAGGGTCCCTACATCCCCCAAGCCACACACACACACACACACACACACACACACACATACACACAAAACACACAAAAAAACAAAACAACAGTGATCAGAAGTGTAGGATGGAGATGTGGCTTTGCAGCATCAATAAAAAAGCATATTTGGGCTGTTTTGCATATACTGAACACTTTGGACCAATTGGCATTACAGTTAGAAGATGCGGACCCCTGTGGATTCACTCACTCTAGGTTTTCTGGCTTCTCTTGGCTTCTTGTTGTGACACTGCCTTTAGCATCATCATGCTGCTTCCCAGTACCAGTGCCTCTTTCCTACTTTCATCTACTAGTTGAGATTAATTTTCCTAAAATAACAACAACAGTATTTATGTCTTACTCCAACTCCATGGTGGATGAGTGTAAAGTTCAAGCATTTAGGAATGGCATTTGCCACGTTCCAAGGCCTGGCCCTTCCTCCCCCTCTGGCCTTACCTGGCTCACCTGCTGCAGAGCTGAGATGAGCACTAAAGGCAAGCCAGGCTCCTGTTCCCCAGCCTGCTTTCTTTCTCACGACCTTCCTTGAAACGCTGCTAACTTGCTTTTTGACTGTGATCAATGCTCTATTTCCTGTGGGAAGCCTGTTGGAAAGGTCCTTCCTGAATGGAAACTTCCATTCTAGGAGTTACATCATTCTGTTTTATGTAGATATATTTGCTCCTTCATTAAGTTTCAAGCTCTTGGGAACAGTGACCGAATTTGCTTACCTTCGCTTCCCCCACACCATGGTTCACTTTGGGTCCCTGAGTCATAGCAGAGGCTCACGTAGTGTTGAATTGCCTTGAACCGAAATAAAGGAGGACCTGGGCATTTTGCTCATCCTTGGGAGTCTTAGTGCCCTGTCTGGGACTGACCAGGGGAACTGGCTGAAGAAACTGTGTGATTCCTCCTTCCTCCGACCCACCACCATTCTAGTCTTTATTTCTGAGCTGCTCTAGAAGTTTTTGTCTTCTTTCATTTTCTATAAATGTTTACACTCTTAAGCTACCCTTGCTTTTTTAGTTCCTGTCTAGTCTAACCTGCTTACTCTGCATGCTCACACAGAAACCCAGCCATCTAGCTCTCCTTTTCACCCTTCTGTCCTCATATATCCTTCTTAAAATATTTTTCCCCTTCTAGTCCTTTGTTCTATCAGCCTCCAGATAGGAAATGGCAGTTCTAGTAGAAAATGTTTTAAAAAATGGGGGAGGACTAGAAGTTTGCATGGAATGCAGTTCACTTTGGTTGTTTTTAAAACAAATGAAAGGCATTTGCCTTTATTTCTATTCTATTCAACAGGATTTCAGACTAAATCCTTAGCCTGCCATATGGAAATAACTGGGTTAGATGACTGCTATCTAATCTAAGCATTTTATTCAAAGATTTGGAACTGTTTTTGGTTCAAGAAAACATAGGTCGACACTAAGCTTTGTTTTACCCAAAGTTTGGGAGAGATTCTGAGCTGTAGTATGTGCACTTTGATAACTAGAGCTACAGGTTACAATTTAATTTGTTCTTCCAACATTAAACTATTTTAATCCTAGTTATAATTTCAGTGAAGGCTGGATTCACTCATCAGCTTGCTAAAACTGTAGATACCATCCACAACCCTGGTATTTAAACACAATTCAGAAATCATAAATAGAATTCAAAAGGAGAGCTTAATGCTGCAAGATGAGATTTGATGCCCTGGTCTTAAAATATCCTCTGTTTTCCTACCAGCCAGATTTGGCAGCTTGAGAACTATTTATTAAAAATCAAAACAGATATTTTACCAACTCACAAAATGTTGTTTTTTGTTTGGGTATCAATTTTGTTTGTTCATATTTTTAACTATGAAAGTTAGTATAGTAATGTAATGGTCATTCATCGAATCCCAGGGGAAGAATTACTCCCTTATTTAGCATTTTAGCAAATACATTTATGTACTTGTGCTATATGTAGGGTACTATAGTGAATGTTTTTGGTAATGACAATATGAATTAAATTTGATGTTTAACCACATGAAGTGGAAGAATTATGACATTATAATATGATTAAGTGCCAGAGAAAACTTGCTAAGATGCTCTGAGAAATGAGCACTCACTTGGGGTGTGGTACGTCAGTCAGGGAAGGCTTTATAAAGCAAGTGGAATATGAGCTTTGGTGACTAGCCAGATGTCAGTATGTGAAGACTGGGGTCGGGGGCTGGGGATTCTGGACAGCTGAAACATTCTTAAAGTCTCAGAAATAGTGCAGCATGGAATATGAATGAGAAACAGGAAATATTTGTTAGATTTTAGTTTTATGAAAATTAAAGGGAAAAGTTAGAGGAAAAAGTTATGCTCCATGGGTCTGGAGTCCCAGATTAAATTTTGGTAGCTAGTGGGGAATATTTTATCAATTATTCCACTCTTTAAACAAGTTCAAAACTATGTTTTAGGACAATTAATCTGCCATCTGCATGTAAGTTTGATTGTAAAGGAAGAGAAATTGGAGCTGGGAAGACCAGTTGGGAGGTTATATAATGGTCTGGTGAGAGTTAGTAAGAGCTGCATGAGGCTGGGAAGAGCAGGACTGGAACAGAGGGGTGAAATTGAGAGATATCATGTAGTGAAGATATCTAGGATTTAGAACCTGGTTGGGAGATAAGAGAAAGAAGAAGGGAGGGGTTAAAGATAACTGTAAAAGGCCAAGCCTGAGAACTGACCCCATTTGAAAAGTCAGAGAAGGCAAGTGGTACAGCTGTGTGTAGTGGAAGGTGAGTCCAGTTTTGCCAGCAGTGCTTGAATGTGTAATCCAATGGGCAGTTGAAAGTATGGAGTTGACAGTCAGGATACCACCTGAAATATGGACTTGGGACTCATTAGCACAAAGGAAATAGTGGAGATGTAGGAGAGATTTGAATGCCAAGGGGGAGTATAGAAGAGAAGATGGCCAAGGACTCTAGGGGGCAGTGGTCTGCTTTGGGGTGAGACTATTGAACTAGTCTGCAAGGTCAGGGCAGAACCAGGAGGACTTTAGTATCATAGGAAAACTGGGGAACAGAGAGTGTTGAGAAAGGGGGGGCAATAACATCCATGGAAACAGAGAGGCAAGGAAGATACAAACTGAGAGGGAAACTAAATGTGGCAGTGAAGAATTCATCAATGACTTTCACAAAAAAGGTCTTAGAACCGTGAATTGCTGGAAAGTATTCTTTTCATTACTTTGGGATCTATTTGTTTGACCTATTAAGTATTGTGGATTTTTCCATTTCTTTAAAATAACACAGATGATGTGTGTGTGTGTCTGTGTGTGTGTCTGTGAGGGAGAGAGAGAGTGAAAGAGAGGGAGAGAGAGAGAGAGTCAGTCTTGTGACCAGGGGACTGTTTTACATAATAAGCGATAAAATTATTTAAATAAAATATACCTTGAGCTCACATTTCATCAATAATGGAAACACCCAGCTAAAGAAGGAAATCTCCAGATTTTTGCATGAGTCAATAAACAAAACTTCTACCAAAACTATGTCCATTACAAAGATATTCTTCCACTCCATTTCATCATATGAAACAACAGCAACAAAAATTATATGTTAGCAAATTTCAAATTGAATTGATGAGCATACCCCAGGAACATATATAGATCATCATCTTTTTTCCTTTCTTTTCAGAATAAAAGGCCAAACTATGATAGCAACTGGTGGAGTGATAACCGGCCTGGCCGCCTTGAAAAGGCAGGACTCTGCCAGGTCACAGCAGCATGTCAACCTCAGCCCGTCACCTGCCGCCCAAGAGAGGAAACCAGTCAGGCGTCGGCCCCGGGCCGATGTTGTGGTTGTTCGTGGCAAAATACGGCTTTATTCCCCATCTGGTTTCTTCCTCATTTTAGGAGTGCTTATCTCCATTGTAGGAATCGCAATGGCGGTCCTCGGATATTGGCCCCAAAAAGAACATTTTATCGATGCCGAAACAACATTGTCAACAAATGAAACTCAGGTCATTCGGAACCAGGGCGGTGTGGTGGTTCGCTTCTTTGAGCAGCATTTGCATTCTGATAAAATGAAAATGCTTGGCCCTTTCACAATGGGGATTGGCATTTTCATTTTCATTTGTGCTAATGCCATTCTTCATGAAAACCGTGACAAAGAAACCAAAATCATACACATGAGGGATATCTATTCCACCGTCATTGACATCCACACGCTAAGAATTAAGGAGCAGAAGCAGATGAACGGCATGTACACTGGTTTGATGGGAGAAACAGAAGTAAAACAGAACGGGAGCTCCTGTGCTTCAAGGCTGGCAGCAAATACGGTTGCCTCTTTCTCAGGATTTCGGAGCAGTTTTCGAATGGACAGCTCTGTGGAGGAGGATGAACTTATGCTAAATGAAAGTAAAAGTTTGGGGCATCTTATGCCCCCTTTGCTCTCTGACAGCTCTGTCTCGGTCTTTGGCCTCTATCCACCTCCTACCAAGACAAGCGATGATAAGACCAGCGGCCCTAAGAAATGTGAAACCAAGTCAATTGTGTCATCGTCCATCAGTGCTTTTACATTGCCTGTGATCAAACTTAATAACTGTGTTATTGATGAACCCAGTATAGACAACATCACCGAGGACGCTGATAACCTCAAAAGTAGGTCAAGGAATTTGTCAATGGATTCCCTTGTGGTCCCTTTGCCCAACAACAGGGAATCCTGCCAGCCAGGCAGCATGGCACTCCCGAGGAATAATTCTGTTGGGGAGTCATTATCGAGTCAGTACAAGTCCTCTATGGCCCTTGGACCTGGGCCTGGACAGCTCTTGTCTCCTGGAGCTGCTAGAAGACAGTTTGGGTCCAACACATCATTGCATTTGCTCTCGTCGCACTCAAAATCCTTAGACTTAGACCGGGGTCCCTCGACTCTCACTGTTCAGGCTGAACAACGGAAACATCCAAGTTGGCCTCGGTTGGATCGAAACAACAGCAAAGGATACATGAAACTAGAGAACAAAGAGGACCCGATGGATAGGTTGCTTGTGCCCCAAGTTGCGATCAAAAAAGACTTTACCAATAAGGAGAAGCTTCTTATGATTTCAAGATCTCATAATAATTTGAGTTTTGAACATGATGAGTTTTTGAGTAACAACCTAAAGCGGGGAACTTCTGAAACAACGTTTTAACGTTTAGAAAATGTATCATTTTACAAGAGTATATATTTTAAAACTCTCTTCAACAGTGTTTCCTTCTTAAAGCATTGGCTGTAAGCCTTTTTAATCAAATGGTTTGTAGTGTATTAGAACTGGCTGCTTAGTTCTGTAATGGAGATGGTTATATGTTTGGGTTACTTATGATTGCAGTACTTTATGTTACCACATATGATTTTATTTTTCCATTCCTTTGAAAGCATGATCATTTTTTTATTAATATGAATACAAAATACTTGCATCCAAATTAAAACTCCTTTTCTTTACTTTTAAGTTCTTTCATTGATTGTCACATTCATAGAATGAAGTATCCAGTATGGAAAGCATAGGGTTCCAAAGTGTGAACTAGAAGTACCAAATTCAGGCCCAATAGTCAATATATATTTATAAATGAGTATCAGTGCAAATAGTAAGATGTGATTTTCTGAATAATTGCTCTTGTATAGGATTGGTTAAATTATTTAAGAGGAAAAAGATCCAGTTTCTATATGAGCTCAATAGTATGAATTGGTTAAGTTGGTTGTGAATCTTATCCTGAGCTTTAAGTAGGTAGTATTTTTTTCAATATCAGTTCTGTTTTAGTATTGTTTTATCAAGAAACAATGTATTCAAGAGCCATGGCTGAGAATGCCAGCTATACTTAGGGATAAATATCAAAATTCTATTAGCTGTAACTTTAGATAATAAGAATCAAAATTTCTTTGCAAACTGACTTGAAGAAATAAATGAACCAATATAGTTTGTAGAAATGCTCTCTTGAAATAATTATATACATGAAGAAAATGTTGACTAATGAGTGAAGATACATTATCTGCTAGTTAATGCTAACTAGTCTTAGTACCTTTTTCTAGCCATCTGGTACCATCCAATATCCATTCATTCCCACATCCTTATTTTCCCCCAATATTTTTTAGATCCTGGTATTTAGAAAACAATCATCTAACCTTGACATTTCTTTTAATCTTCACATACCACTAGCTTGATGTTTCAAGAAAATTTAGGCCTTGACAAATTACCTTGAAATTTACCTTGTGTTGGAGAGCCTTATGATCACTCCGAAGACTTTAGACTTTTAGGATTGTGGTTTTCAATTAGCGAAGATAATAAATATGAAAATGGATGTTTCCGTCAGAAAATTTTCATGTTTTCCATTAAGGGAACATAATTTTAAGAATTGTTTAATGGAATATTCAGGAAATTTTCCAGGTTTTCCCCCATGCCTAAACATTTCTGAACATCAGGACGCAGTTGCCATGGACGAGTAGAAGGTGGGTACATTTGTCTGTGTAGCACCCCACAATCCACCTGCATTTGCATCACCAGCTTTCTCAGTTGAGGCACAGTGTTACTTGTTAGAACCTCCAGCCTGTGCATTGTAACAGAATGGGCTCACTATTTTACTATGAAGCATTTAATAAACTTCTGTTATTAATAGAAGTTTGTGTTCTTCACACCTTTGCTATTATTTCTTAAATTAAATATACATTTCTGCTTAAAATACTATTTTTCAAACTTTCAGATACATTGTTTTGAGAGCACTTGCTATGCTAGTCCATATACTAAATATCTTGGCTTTTTGGTTTTGCTTCTGTTAGGTTAAAGAGCTAGGTCCATCTACCTACTTAATTAGACTGTTTTCATATTTTGTTATCTTGAGATCATTTTCACTTAAAATGTCGTTGACTCTCAGAAAAATAACCAAATACACATAGCATCCAGCAAATGTCAGAGGCACTCCCAGATTTGAAAACAGTGGCTTTCAACATCCCTGATGGGACAAATGGGTAAAGCCATATACTTTGCTCAGTTCACCCTGAAAGAGCTCTAGAAGTTTGAAGAGGATTAAGCAGCGTGAGTCTTAGATAATCCACATAAAGGAATTGGGGGCTTAAAAGCAGTGGTTCCTGCTCCACTTTGTCTTCATGAAAAAGCTTGAGTTTTTTATTTATCAAACAAATCAACTTTATTAAATGATAAATGATTTTCTCATTTTAAATTAATCAAAGGCATATATTGCTAATTACAGTTTCCGATGAGTATGAGATAGCTGCTGTTACTACATTGATTTGTAATAATTCTATTTAAAAGCAATGAAACCTGGAATTTTAGTTAGACTGTATTTTGTACATTTCCCCTAGGCTTTTATGATATTGAAAATTATTTAGAAACTCCATTTTTTCCTCTGGGAAACCCCAGAAATCTGAACCATGGTCTAGCTGCTTCCAGCTCAGTTTCTAAGGCCTGTGGCCTGCATGGGGCAAATTAGTTTGCTAGGACTGTGATAACAAAATGGGTGGTTCAAGGAATAGAAATTTATTTTCCCACAGTTCTAAAGGCAGAAAGTCCAAGATCAAGGTGTCATCAGGACTGGTTGCTCCTGAGGCCTCTCTCCTCCTCTTGCAGATGGCTGCCTTCTTACTGTGTCTCCACGAGGCCTTTCCTCTCTGCATTCCCATCCCTGCTGTCTCTCTCTTTTTTAGGACACCAGCCATATCAGATTAGGGATCCACCCTAGAAGCCTCATTTTACCTTAATTACCTTTTTAAAGGCTCTATCTGCAAATATGGTTACTCTGAGGGATGGCGCATTGGGACTTTAACATATGAATTTTAAGGGGACACGATTCAGTCCATAGCATGGGTATGGAGAGCTGAGTGAGGGTTCTTAGCCTAGACGAGGTGAGGAGAGCACATCTCCCAATGGTTTTGTCATTCTGGTTATATAACTTTGACTTAATGACTTAATCTCTCAATTTCAATTAATTTCTTAATTTCAAGGCCTTGGTTTCTTCAACTGTGAAGTGATTTGAGTAAGGACATAAACTATAAAGTCCTTTCCAATTCCAACAGTCCAGCATTCTTGGTGCCCTTGGATGAAGACCCATCTCTTCTCAGCAGGTTGCTTCTCAAAGGATGAGGGGCAGGAACTGCAGTAGAGTAGAGTGGTTGGACTCATGGATGTTGGAGCCAGAGTATCTGGGTGTAAATCCTGGCTCTGCCACTTTCTGGTCGAGTGGCCTTAAGCGTGGGCAATCACCTGTCATAGATGCTGAGAACTGCTGATGCAAACCCACCAGTGTGTGCCAACAAGTGTAAGCCCTGCAGCCCGGATGCTGTAGATTAAATGGACTGATGCTTGTAAAGGGTCCAGAATGGTGCCAGGGTGGACACATAGTGAGCATTCAACATACATGTGTTATTATTATCAGAAAGTGTCACCTGAAAGCTTTTCCAAGCCTTTATCCCAACCCCAACCCACCCTCAAGTATATCACCTGGAATAGAATAAATAATGATGTCCATGTCCCAATCCCTGGAACCTGTGAATGTTACCTTCTCTGGCAAAATGGACTTGCAGCTGTGATGAAGTTAGGATCTTGAGATGGAAACATTATTTTAGATTATTCAGGTGAGCCCAGAGTAATCACAAGGGTCCTTATTAGAGGGAAATTTGATGACAAAGAAGGTGGAGATGTGACCAAAACAGTAAGAAATGGGAGAGGCTAAGCCACTCACTTTGCAGATGGATGGAGGGGCCACAGCAAGAAGTGCAAGGAATAAAACTCTAGAACCTGGAAAAGGAAACATTTTCTCCCCTCATCCTCCAGAAAAACCAGCCCCATTGACACTTCGACTTTAGCCCAGTGAAACAGATTTTGGACTCCTGGCTTCTAGAACTGTGAAAGAATAAATACGTATTGTTTTAATACCTTAAATTTGCAGTAATTTTGTTACAGCAACCATAGAAAACTAATAGATCTCCCCAAACCAGAGGAGCTTCTTCAGAACAATGAACCAGTAGTCAACAAACTTAGAAACAGGGTGAAAGGCATCCAACCCGGGGTATGGGAGGTGGCCCAAAGTAGAATCTATGATCAACTGGAAGTTTAGCACAGATAGTCTTTTTTTTTAGAACTGATAACCTTTTTTTTTTTTTTTTTACCACACAAGCAAAGAGAAGAGAAACACTGATAATCTTAATGTAAGTATAATAATTTTTTTTTAAAAAAGAGGTATAGCATCTTTGAAGCAGGAAATGTTGATTTTTGATAGAGAATAAAAAATACAAAACCTCATAGTTGGCTTACGAGCAGCCATCACTTGTAGAAGCTTTCAGGTTCAAATACATGTTTCTATCCCTATAATCCCAGAAGAAACAATAGTAATATAAGTAAAAAGAAAAACATTGTTTAGCACAAGTTTGTATCAAAATGGATATTATACTTCAAATTTAAGTACTATAAATCCACCCCAGAAACACACCATGGATGACTAAAAGAAGTAAAATATGTTATTAAAAAGAAAAAGAAAAGATCCATCACCTTATCAATACTTTCCCTATTGATAGGAAAAGACTGCCCGGGGATAGAGGGCTGCCTGCCGTGTTCAGATTGTTCAAGATCTTAATCACTTGTTCTCAAAGTAGGAACCGTGAGATTGGTACATGGCTTATCCTGTCTCTTACTTTCAGCGAATTGCTCTGTCACCCTCCCCTGACCTGACAGATAATCCTATTTTAGGCCTTATATCAAGGTTTTAGAGTGTATAACCTTGATGTTGGCTTATGGAGGTACTTTGTCTTTAATCCCCCATTTGATGATTAAAGTCCTTTGTGATGTGAAACCAAACTGAATAACTCATTGATTTCTCTCTATATGCAGTTTTTCCCAGGATGATGGCACAAGAGAAACAAGGCCTACTTCACTGAAGTGTCTTTTACTTAACAATTGATGTCGTTTTAAGAAGGTAGATTAGTTTGCTAGGGCTGTTGTAATAAAATACCACAAACTGGGTGGTTTAAACAACAGAATTGATTTTTTTGTAGTTTTGGAGGCTGGAAGTCCAAGAATAAGGTTTGGTTTCTCCTGAGGCCTCTCTCCTTGGCTTGCAGATGTGTCCGTGCGTGGTCTTGGGCCTCCCTGGTGTCTCTTTGTGTATTCAAATTTCCTCTCCTTATAAGGACACTAGGAAGATGGCATCAGGGCCCATCATACCAGGCTCATTTTGACTTAAGCACTTTGTTAGAGGCCTTATCTCCAAACACAGTTAGGTTTTGAGGTACTGAGGGTTAGGGTTTCAACATAGGAATTGAAGGTGGGGATATAATTCAGTCCACAACAGATAAGAATTTAAAAATCAGGCCTGCCCCAAACAGGGCTCACTGACGTGACAAAATGAGCTCAATCAACCTTTATATGTCAGCAGATCAATTCCTCTCCTTCAAACACATTTCAGGTAAACTAATTACATTTATATATTTTTTTCTTTTATGGTCAGTGTATGAGAAGAGAAAAGAAGTAATAAAGATAAAGAAAACCTCTACACGTAGGATCTTACTCTTACAACATCAGGGTGATTTTCAGCAAACTGGGCACATCTTAAGCTCAGTGTATTCTCTTCTTATCCCTGTCCTTTACTCCTGATCGGTTCAGTGGTTGCTTTGTTACAGAAATAACTAAGAAAATTACTTTTATTTTGGTCTCCTACCTTATTAATTCACAACTTAATAGTTTGAGATTTATAATAAGTTTTCAGTTCTCTCTCCTTACCAACTAGTAGATATTGTAGCCCCAGGAGCATTTGTATTCTATAAATTAAATTTAGAGAGTTGTTTGCATTGCAATTGTTTGTAATGTAGAAAAGGCCACAGTATTTGTAGGACAAAAGATGGAATAATTTGTTAATAGAAACACAAACATCTGGAATTTAGAAGCAAATGGATGTTAGAGCTGATACCCAGTAGAATACACACGTTAGTAGCACAATCAGGACCTGAGTCCAGGACTGTTGTTTCCTAGTATTTGCATCAATTAGAATCAAACCAGGTTTTTAAAAACATGTTTACGATCTGATGATGAGATTTTGGGTTTCTTAGGACTGGTAAAGAAAGAAGTATCTATAATTTCAGGCAGAAATAATAGTGTGGAAATTTCCAACACATCTTAGAAATATTGGGTTGGGGGATAAGGAGGTGTATTAGGGACTGGCATTGGACAAGGCACAAAGCTTGGAACAGGAATTTTTAGTATTTATTTTATACTTTGATCTCTTGTGTTTTAATATATTAACTATACAACACTGCCATGAAAATTACGCCATTAAGCCCTCCCAAATCATTGTATTTTCTTTCAACAAGAT